TTGGGTTGGGAAGTAAAGCCCTCTTTTTTTTTTGGTTCCTTGGACTTTATTATAACGAGGTTTGATCGTTGGCATCAATTGACACAAAAATTTTCCCTGCGGAAAAGCGGACCATCGCATGCTTCTTGGTATTTTTTTTTGGAAATGGAAACGTTGCCGGATTCCTAACAGCCGCAACACGTATTCTGCATCCAGGAAATTTGGACGAACGGTACGGATGGAGCGAGGACGACGTAACTTACGGAGGATATTACGGCGCATACGAGTTCCTGAAGAAGCACGTGAGCGATCACCCGCAGGAGACGGAGGTGAAGCAGGTTTTCGACAAACTGAACGCCCTCACGCCCAACCAGGCGAGTCCAGCTCGCTCTCCACCGCTGCAAACTTCAGACGGCGACGTTGACGTTCGTCTTCCTTCCAGAGAGATAACGCGAACAGGTTCTGGGAGCGGGCGACGGAAATTTTCCAAACGAACCTGGCAGACACCGACCCAGAGACTCCACCCACCGCGGAATCTATGACGGACTTGGTCCACCTCCTCACCTCCTCCGTCGACTTCATGGTGACCTGCTCGAAATGCAATTTTTCATGCTCTCCAATTTTTCATGCTCTCCAATTTTTCATGCTCCCGGTTGTCTCTTCATCTCGTGCTTTTCATTCTCGGCAGCCCGTGGGCATAACGGACGAGCAACTGACGGACGTGCTGAACGGCGTCGCCATGACCAACGAACTTCGATTTCAGACAAAAGACGGGTGGCTAAGTATGACAAGTTTCATGTTGCACGTTCCAAGAATTTTACTTTTACGTTTCACAATATTTTACAAATATGATAATATTCATAATTATACCACATTAATACTATTATGTATTTAATAATAACAATAACATTATGTAAATATGATCATAAGCTCGTGACCTGAGGTCCATCTGAAAATATTTATGAAGTCTGAATGGCATCAAAGAAGGATTCTTCTCTTTATTTTTCGCTTTTGTCACCGCTTACCCTTTCATTTCATGCACCCAAACTTCACGGACAAAAGACTTGACTTAGCTCTCGGAAACACAGCCCTGTGAGTTTCTTCCTCAGAAGCAACGATGAAGACGCTGACGGCGCCACTGATCAAGTGCCACGTGTACTTGGAATTGGACCTACCCTTCGATTACGCGGATCCCAGGACCAGGAAATACCGGAAAATGGTCTGGACGATCAACAACGAGGTAGGTCGGAGGTTCTGCGCGGTCTCGCCCCGATTCTCTCGCAAGAAGTCGAACGTCTCTCGCGGCTCGTGCAGATGTGGAGAGTCGTGAGCCATGACGGAATGATCTGGCACGAGATCTGGCACGAAACGGCCCAGGTCCTGGGACTGGGGCAGACCGGGAACGCGTCCACCACGGCCGTCTCCCTGAGGCTCGCCTACGAGCTACCGCCGGGCGCGGAAGACCGCGTGGCGAATATGACCACCCTCGCCGGGGCGAGGATCCTCAGCAAAACCATCGTCACCGGTTCGTGGTTCGCGTTTTCCTGAATGTGCAGATTCTTCCGTGAAATTCGGAATATGCATTGGCTCTTCTTTTAGTACATTCGGTTGAATCAGCATATCATTAAATTTTTGACAGAACGACTCATTTTTAAGCAAGGCACCATGACCTGCGAATAAGGTTCTTGGAGAATAGAGGTGGAAAAGCGGCGAGGGTGACAAAAACGACTCACTTTTTAATTTGCTACTTGAGTGTTTGGCAAGCTGTATTTTTCCCTTAGAAATTTATCATTTTCAATGACTACAGGTAGTGCT